GTCAAATTCTATTTTTAAACTGTTTAGAATACGGGCCATTCGGTGGCAACAGTCAAATTCTATTTTTGAACTGTTTAGAATACGGGCCATTCGATGGCAACAGTCAAAATCTATTTTTAAACTGTTTTAATACGGGCCATTCGATGGCATCGTCAAATTCTATTTTAAAACTGCTTAGAATACAGGCCATTCGATGACAATAGTCAAATTCTATTTTTAAACAGTTTTTAATACGGACCATTCGATGGCAATAGTCAAATTCTATTTTTAAACTGTTTAGAATGCGGGTCATTCGATGGCAATAGTCAAATTCTATTTTTAAACTGTTTAGAATACGGGCCATTCGATGGCAGTAGTCAAATGCTATTTTTGAACTGTTTATACGGGCCATTCGATGGCAACAGTCAAATGTTGGAATATAGAGGATAATTGCCGGCGATAGTCAAATTGTATCGTCAGGTTGTCCCTTGGCATTTTAAACGTTATGCAGTACTTGGTTTTATACTTGATAGGATGACAATGATCGTTCCTTTTCAAACACTGGCCATTCTTTGGCAGGTTGAATTCTTGGGTTAAAATTGTTTATTTTTTGCCATTCGATGGCGATGTTCGCTTCTATTCTTAATTTGTTTAAACGCTGGCCATTCTTGGACATGCTATAAAGTATCCGGTTAAATTGTTTAGATACCGCACTTTAAATTCTTTTGGTTTTAATTGTTTGGAATACCGGCCATTCTATGGCAACGTGCTTTTCTAGTTTTAATTCAAGTTAAATCCTTAGCTTTCAATTGTTTGGAATACCGRACATTCGATGATAGTGGTCGTTATTTCTATTTTTAAACTCCTTAGAACACATACCCTTTGTGGGCAATGGTGAGTTTTATTTAAAGGAAGGAAAAAAAAAAAAACATTGTTTAAGCACTGGCCGCACATTAACTTACTTCCCTTTGTTTACATCGTTCAGAATACTGGCCATTTGATGGTAATTTTCGTTCCTATTTTAAAACCTTGTTGGGAATACAGACCATTCCTTGGCAGTATTCGATTCTTTTGTCAAATTGTGCAGCAGGCAACGGTTATACCCCGGTTCTGATCTCGACCTGATAAACATTTTTTATTTTGTTTGGATAGATTCAGACTCTTAAGGCTGAAGTGGAGGCTTTGAARCAAAGTAACGCGGCCCAGGATGTRGAAACAGCCTTAACCCTTCTGAGACAACAAATCACACGGCCACCAGCATTGTTCGACTCGCATGCCACCATGGCTGCCCTGGAACTACTGATTGACAGCTGTCGGGCCAATGGGGACCAGAGACTCACAAGGTATAACACCATCTTGAAGCAGATCAGATCCATGGTTGGCCATCCCTCCCTTCAGAATGTATTTCTCAAACTCGTAGGGTCCAAAGAGGAGGTCGAGGTCTCTAGGGAGATCCAAAAAGCACTAAAGCACTCGCACCAGCCGCAGGCTCCTCTCCCCCGCGACCTCTACTGGCAAAAAGGCGTTGGCCTCCACAGATGACACCCTATCAACGCGCTAGGCCTACCTGTTTCTTGTGCCATAGGCGTGGACATATTGCTCGCACATGTCCTAATAATARCAACAGCAACCGTGGTTAATCTTGCCATAGCATGTGTAAGGAAGAATCTATTAAAGGATGTTTTCTGTGTAAGCTTGTTTGTTTCTTAGCTTAGTTTAGTGGCCACCTTGTAATAACATTCAAACAGAATACGTAAACTGCTTATGGAATTTAAGTTTTTCAGTCACTTGTGGTCACCTGTCTATATCAACATCCTACCCCTTAAATACACTTTTAGAATAGAGTTGATGCAACATCGATACTCAAGTATATGARGTATAGAAATAAGCTTCGTCACTAGCTCGTCAAGTAGGATATTTTCGAAGGCTGTCGCATAAGATACTCCGCGTTCTCACCTTAAAATTTGGTTAAATGGGGCGTGTAAAGACCTCGGTTATAAAGAGAAAATACACTTTTTAAATAATTTTTRAGTCCAATTTATGGTTTAGACAATTTTTGAATAGGGAGATTCAGCTGTAAATGGGTCATGTGGCCTATTTTGCATAGAGTTTTCTTTCTATATCTCGTTTATGAAATATGTAAACAAGGAGCAAAGCYTGATTCATATACAAACGTCTATCGTCAAAAAATAAATCCATGTTGAGTTTTGAACGAAATATATTGTGTACACCACGTATGTACTATGCATATAGCGTTTGTGCTGCCTTACAGTCACGTGACACAATTTGCATAATTTTCGTTTAGATATTACAGTCAATGTGTGACATCTAATTTGAAGGTGTTAGAGCGCTATCCTTAAAGCTTACTATGCGGTTGGTGAAATTATATGTTGGCTAATTTGAATATCAGCCAAGCCGTAAGATACTTGGGTAGATGGGACAGAAAGTAAATTAAAAACTCATTTACCTTCAGAGCGCTATCCTTAAAGCTTACTATGCGGTTGGTGAAATTATATGTTGGCTAATTTGAATATCAGCCAAGCCGTAAGATACTTGGGTAGATGGGACAGAAAGTAAATTAAAAACTCATTTACCTTCAGTTGTGATTTCTCAAAATTTATGTATCCAACCATCACAATGTCAAATAGTAGTCAGTGTCCTTACACGGATATAATAGTAGTAGATGATAGATTGCAGACAGGCATATTTCAAGAGCGCTTGCTTTTCCGTGATTCTCAGTTCACGTCTAATCATCTTAAGACGGTGGTGAGTTTATTTGGCCGACTTTCCGAGATAGAAGTAATTTATTGCGTGGCAATAAATAGTTGGAATACAARATACAGTACAGCTAGTAACGTCAATGGGAACATTTTAAAGTCGCCTTTTCGGTAACAATGTCTCTCACGAATTTGCTCGGATAACCYAATCTCTACCCCACAACCCCACTCCCGGTCGGGTCGAACCAGAAGGGTCTTCTAATCACACCCTATAATCTGTCTCCGGACGGATTCCTGGTCCGGCCTGGCTGGTTGKTTTTTTCCCTCCATTTTTATTTTTCGGCTCATTTGTGTTTCACACTTTTATTTTTCCATTGTAACATCATGTAGAGTCACCCTCACGTAGAATTTGGCAGACGATTACGCTACCGCTTGGCACACCCTAATGTAGAAAAACACTGTGATTGGGAGGGAAAAGCCACCAGCTGGGTCGGACCGTTGCCTTCAGTKGAMATGGTTTCAAGTGGGAAAGTCTGGTCATCACCAACGTTTTTCACATTCAGGGACCCTTCAAGTTTCGTAGCTGGCAATCTCCAAAAACACTTACCAGCCTGGGAGCAAGTTATTAGGAACCTGTATCCCCACTCCTACCCGGAGGCGCTTTATTGGCTACAGGAAGGCGTTCGGATTGAGAATTTCTTCACGCACTTCAAGGGTTCCTTCCAAGGAAAATACTACGACTCAAKCCAGCCCCCAAAAGCCGTCTTCCCCAACGCCCGCTCTTGCGRAAGATTCGAGGATTTCATCTCCAACACCATTTTAGATAGAGTCCAGAATGGATCCCTGGCGGTATGGGGAGAGGAGAACTTGGTAGACCCCCCGTACCTCGTCATGCCCATAACTATTGAGGTAACTAAACCACGTATGTGTCACGACGAACGCTTCCTAAATCTATGGATAAGGGATTGCCCGTTCTCCCTGGAGTATTTGACAGACTTGCCCCGCTACGTACAACATAGCCATTTCCAGACCACGATGGACGACAAAAGCGGATATGATCACGTGTGTCTACATCCTAGCGCTAGTACAKATTTTGGTCTCAAGTGGAAGGGTTGGTACTTYGTATATACAACCCTACCCTTCGGTTGGAAAGCAAGTGCCTACATTTACCAGTCCCTGGGTCTGCTGGCGACAAGCACCATCCGCTCCTACGGCGTCCCCTGCACACAATATATTGATGATAGACACGTGGGACAGCTACTCATTCCCTATCCAAGTCAACACAGTTTCTTAGACTCCCAGCTAGCTGAGATGGCTGCTTTTATAGCCTGTTCCGTCCTGACACAATTAGGCTACTTCATTGGCCTAAGTAAAAGCAGCCTTCAGCCAAAAAAGGCCGTGCGTTTTTTGGGCTACGTGTGCGACTCAGACAGACAAGCATTTATACTACCGGATGACAAGCGGCAGAAGTTTGCCCTCCTCCGCGAGGACATCCTGGGTTCGAACACTGTATCCCTTAAAAACCTTCAGAAAKTTGCGGGAAAGACGACATCTTTTTCTCTCTCAGTACCAGCTGCAAAATTGTTTACRAACCGCTGCTACCAGGCTATTGGACGCACACAGAGAAGTCCATTCTCACAAATTAAGATAACAGAGGAACTCCGAGAAGAGCTCGCMTATTGGCGCTTCCTTGATACATGGAMCGGGATTTTGCCATGGCTAGATGAAARGCATATTAATGTTACGATTCACTCCGATGCCTCTGACACCGGCTGGGGAGGTACACTCGAACGCCAGGGCTGCCCGCGTCAAGAGGCAAGAGGTTACTGGGATGATGAGCATCGACAGCTACCAATAGCGGTGAGAGAAGCTCGGGCTCTCCTGTTAACAATGGAGCACCTCTTGTCCGACATCAGAAACGCGCGGGTGGATGCCTATGTCGATAATCAAACAGTACTCCACTGTTGGGAAAGACAAACATCTCGGTCCCCCCGTATCACCTGCATTATGAAGRACATGTTCTCCTTCTGTTCAGCGCATAATATCTCGTTGTCAGCCTTTTTTGTCCCCTCCAAGCAGAATATCGCGGATCAACCGTCAAGGGCAGTGTCCGATCTTGACACTAAACTTTCCGCCGAATGTTGGTTGAAGGTCGACTCTTCTTTCGGCCCACACACAATCGATTTAATGGCCATWCCAGAGAACGTACGCCACAACACAACGGGTCGCMCCCTCAAGTTYTTCTCCCCGAGACCATGCCCAGGCGCTGCTGGAACCAACGTTTTCGCGCAAGTAGTCACACCTGAGGAAAACCCGTATGTGTTCCCACCCTTCAGCCTGGTGGGCCCACTATTCAAGTTCCTCCAGAGTCAAGGTTGCCCTTTCTCCATAGTAATTCCAGACCTACGCCCACGAAGATACTGGTGGCCGATGGTGTGCAAAAATGCCTGCGCTTCAATGTTGTTAGGTCGCAAGGGTGAACCCAATGTTCTCCTCTTTCCTTCACGCTCCTCCGAATGCAGCTGGTTTACAAAACCACTTCAATGGGACCTTTGGGTCTTTCGGATTCCAAGCCCAACGTCTGCTTAGTTAACACTCAAGATRCACGGTTACATTTGTAATACTAAGACCCTAGATGAGGTTGGTTTTGGCCTAAACAATAAAGGTTATTTAAATATGGCGAACTGTGTTTATTTCATGTTCCCCCCAACGGCTTTCTTGTCCACATACCACTACAATATTATTCTATACTATTAACCTAATAAACCATTTACGTATCCTATTTCGTTCTCTCAGCCACTACTACAAGTGCCAAGATTATGGGTTCCCGCGGTTCAGTGTCCTAGCTGTGCTTACCCCAACGACTCTGACTTTGCTTTCTGTCAACGGTGCGGCTACAGTAGGAAGCCAGTTAATCCAAGCGCACGCGGTGAAATAGTCCCTATAAACCTCCCCCARATCAACGAGCGTCTAAAGTACCTCGGGGATAAAACCAACAACAAAGCATATGAGAAACAAAAGTCCAGTTTGCACAAGGAGCTGGAAGCTTTCCTGAATTCTCTGCCGGCCCCTAAGACTATTCACAACGTAACCCCTTTTGAAATCACCCGTTTTCTAGTATGGAAAGACCAGAAGGGTAAAACAAAGGTCCATGTACCGGCTTGCAATTACTTTGGCTCTAAGACCTCGGGTAAGTGTGGATGTCCACAGAGACTGGCGGCAGGGACCGTTGACAACATAATTGGRAAGCTTCGTTCTATTTTCACGGAAATAGGGCGCTCTGGGGATTGGCAAGAAGCCTTTGGCTCTGGAAACCCAGCCTCACACAAGACCGTACGGCAATACCTGCGAGCAATCCAGGAGGAGCAAGCAGTAGCAAGAGTAACGCCAAGGCAAGCGAAACCACTTTTTRTCGACAAACTAACCAGCTTGTGCGTTTACCTACGAAACCAAGCACTCTCCGCGACCATGCCTCCCATTCAGCGCTACCTTTTYGCCAGGGATTTAGCGTTCTTTTCGGTTGACTTTTTCGCGGGGGACAGGGCCTCTGACCTRGGAAGAATCTTCACGAAGGAGGTGGTCACTTCCGACGARGGAGATACACTCATGTTCCGGCATACATTTGGGAAGACCCTGAGAGGCAAAGACACCAAYGCGTTCATGCTGAAGACATGTGAGGACAAGCGTATCTGTCCCGTCAACAACCTCCGTCTCTACGTACAGCTCTGTGATCTCATGTCCGTCAACCTTAGAGACKGGCACCTTTTTAGGACGACCGACAGGAAATCCCGAGTGTCYGAAACTCCCTTTACAGGATCCGCCGTCGCCAACCGACTTAAACTCCATCTTGACACCCTCGGAATAGAACAGGGGGAGACAATGCACAGCTTCCGTAGTGGGTGCGCGATCACTTTGTCCCTGTTAGGTGTCTCACCAGAGGATATGGCTCGACACGTGGGCTGGAG